GGGATGGAAGGGACAACGAAGAACCATCGGGGAACATTCGCCCGCAAGCTCAAATCGACAGGCCGCCACTCGGCTCCCTCCTCCCGTGCGCCAGCTCGTGTGGACAGAAGCAATCCACCGCTCTCCGACACGTCCGCGGCCTGTGCCTCACCCATCTTCCCTCCCTCCTTGCAGGGCTCGCCAAAATTGCGGGCGGCAACGGGAACTCGAGAGAAAACTTCCCGTATGGCTCGGCGGCAGTCCTCCTCCTTTATGTCGAACGGCTTACATGTGATCCTCACGCTCCATCCGGGCCCTGACCGCTAGGACCTGCTTCACGAAGAGGACACAATTCACGAACACCCAGAACGTCAGCTCCTCGTCCGTCACGCTCACGCTCTTCCACGTCGCACGAAATCTGCGGGCCGAATGCGCGGATGGGGCAGTGAGATGGGGCGGGGGATGGGAGATGGAGAAGCGGACGAAAATGAGCGATGGTTATGTTGCTCCCATCGTACTTAAGAACCACATCCCAGAAATAATTTCGAGCACCCGGAAAAGTATCGAAAGAGTGTCGAAACAGGATCTGACGAGCCTCTCGCAGGGTCCGACACTTGAAAACTCTAGAGTTTCGGTGTTTTGTGGGTGCTCGAGACTATCTCTGATAATCAAAGCTAAATTAGGTTGGAACATCACAAGGCGATGGCACAGAGGGGGAGGGGGTGGGCAGATGGGGAGAAGAGAAGGGGGAGAGGCACGGAGAGGCACAGGGAGAAACACGAGGCGAAGACAGGTCGGATGGGGAGGGGGAGCAGGGGGGGGAGGAGGATGGAGGAGGATGGAGGAGCGGAGGAGGGAGGAGGAGGAGGAGGAGGAGGAGGAGGAGCAGGAGGAGGAGAAGGAGGAGGGAGGGGAAGGTCCGGGAAGGATGGTGGAGGAGGAGAAGGGGACGGTGTCAGGAATGGAAGAAATGGGAACGAGGGGGGGGCAACAGAAGGAGACGGATGAGGACTGTGAGGAGGGAGCAGGACGAGGCCCTCAATGATGCAGAAGATACTTCTTGTAGCCCGATTGGTCTTCTTGAGGCAATATTGGATGCCTCTTGGGCCGTCTTGGTCGTTCTGAAGGCAGGAAAATTCAGCATGTTGGTTGACATCGATCGGAAACATGTGGGCATCATGTCTGCTTTGCCACTGGGGGGCTTCTGGCGAATGCGCTCGGGGGGGGGGCCTTTGGCTGCTTTATCGCTTACAAGCATTATGTGGCCATCTTTGGCGTGATTTGGTCGTATCGAAGGCTCGTCGGGCCCTCCTGGGGCCTTCTGAGGACCTCTCGGGCCGTCTTAGGGTAACCTCGGGCCGTCGTGGGCCCACCTGGGGAGATCGCAACCCAGTCCCCCCGGACGGAACGCAGACTGTCTCAAACCGAAGTTCCAAAGGGAACCGATGGTGCTCCTATACGCCAGCATGGAATACCTTGACATGTCTGAGTGTGCGCACGCAATATACAGTTTGCGGGACCATCGCCGCACGAACTACTCATCCAACGTTGCAGAAGTAGGGGAACAAAAAGTGACACAAACATAAAACTCGGAAGTCCGCGCAAATTTCTCGGATCCGCGCTGGACCCCCCTCCCTGGCGCGCGGAGCGCGCCAGGGGCGGCGCCGGAGGCGCCGCCAGGGGGGTCCAGCGTAGATCCGAGAAATCCGCGCGGACCTCCGAGTTCTTATGTTTGTGTCACTTTTTCTTCCCCTGAGAGGGGCCCCATATCAGGGTCCCCTGCGGCCGAGCTGAGGCGGTCCTGGGGCATGCTGGCCGTGCACCGTCTTTGGGCCCCTCCGTGCCGGCGTGGCGACCTCCCCGGCCTGCGGGGGGGGGGGGGGCACGGCAGGCCATCTCGGGGACCCGGGGTCCTCTCCGGCTGCCTGGCCCCTCTCGGGCCGACTTGGGACCCTCTCGGGCTGCCTCGGGCCCCTCTCAGGCCGTCTTGGGACCCTGTTGGGGCCCCGTTGCGGCTCATGGTGGGCCCGCACGGGGTGCTCTTGGAGTCCTCCTGGTCAATCTGGGGAGGTCGCAACACCGATGGGCCGAGCTCGAGAAAATCAATGTTGAGGCTTGCCCCAAGGAGGCCCTTGGGGTTCCTCCTCGGGCCGTCTTTGGCCGTGTCTGGGCAATCTTGGCCATGCTGGGGGGCCTCTTCGGAATTGCTCGGGGCCTGTTCTCGTGCTATCTTAGGTCGTCTCGGGACCGACTTTGCCCCTCTGAGGGCGCCCTGTAACACGACAGGAATCGCAATATCGAGGATACGGCGGAGCATGCTTCTGTGAAGGGGATCTACGCTGTACCAGCGCAATACCATAAACCTTACAGAAGGTAAGCAACACCAAGGAAACACGCAAGTGGGAACCAAGCGCTGCCACTCAGTACGTGACTTCTGGTATTGGATACACTTGCACATTTCCCACAGTGTGGCGACGCGGCGCCACCTGTAGACGGAGGGGCAACTAGCAGGCCAACCAGAAAAAAACACAGCATAAACACTACGTCCGCACAGCATCAAGTCAACAAGACAACGGCACACGAAACGACGCAGCTTCTGAACCCGGGCTGCAACAAAAAATAGGAGTGATGCACCCTCTTTCTGCCAAGGGGGGGAGGGTGCGAGTGTGCCCTAGCCCCACTGTCAGAAGAGGCGAGACAAACTGGATCGGGAAATGCCTCGCTCCGATTAGAACATCCGTTCTCGGCGCTGGCGGGCACATCGTGGGCGGGGCGTGCGGCCTGACGCAGAACAGATCAAAACCCACCACGAAAAACAGAAGCCGGAAGATGATGAACTGCGGCACGCGCCACCTGCGCCACGCACGGCGGTCGAAGGAAGCTGGCGGCATGAGTGATGGAACGGCAGCAGAAACAGGAGGATGAGGATGTCACGCAATCATGCTCAGCCCGACCGAGATGACCCACCTTTTCTTTTCGCCACATCTTCGAATCGCAATTACCCATGACCTCCTGCTCCATCCCACAGGCATCTTGTCCTCACACGATATTCCCGCATACTAATCCTGCGCTAAACCACCCCTCCTCGTAGCCTGCACAGGCTGTAACACCCTCGGTCGTCTGCAAACCCCTGTGTATGACCCCATGTCTCCTTTCACCCTCTGAATGGCTTCAGGTTTGCGTTCAGGCGCGCGCTCAGACATGATGGATCTACTGGAACATCTTCGATTTCTCCCATGCACATTGTTCCGTGGTGCAGCACGTTTGCAAACATGCCAGCTTCCATTCCCTGACCCAACGGGCCAGAGGCGTGCTAAGATCTCCGGCAACAGGTTAACAATCTTTCTAGTTCGCGCGCGGGCGATGCCTGGCCGATGCCCGGCCGACTCCCCCGTGGCCGCTCCAGGAGCGCGCCGCGAGGGCGCCAGGACGCCCCCTGCACGGCCGCAGAGGCCTGGAGTCGCCGAGAGATCATTCCAAGATGCTCAAGATGGTTTCCAGACGGCAACAAAGGCCGCGGAAAAGCCCCAAGAGAGCCTCAAGAAACTCTCCAAAGAGGGTCCCAACAAGCAACAACCGCCCCCTTCCCTTCAGAAAACGTACGTGTTTCGCATGTGCGACGTTTCTCGTCTTTTCCAACGCTCCAAGACGGCCCAAGAGGCCCTCAAGACCGCCCCAGGACGGCCCAAGAAGCCTCAAAGAGGGCCCGAAGACCGCCCAAGATGGCTCCAAGACAGCCCAAGAGGCACCCAAAATGGCCCAAGAGGGCCCCAAAACGGCCCCAAGAGAGGCCCAAGACGGGGACCAGGAGCCGAAAAGTCCAGCCTTCGGCCCCATGAGGCCGAAAGAAGGCCCCAAGAGGCCCCCAAGAGGCCCTAGCGGTCCTCAGTGGAGCCCGGCGGACCCCAGCGGACACTAGCCGACCCCACAGGACCCTAGCGGACCCCAGCGGGCCCCAGCGGACCCTGGCGGAGCATGGCAGAGCCAGGCGGACTCCAGCGGACCTCAGAGGACCGCCTTGGCAGACCCTGGCGGCCCCCAAGAGGCCCCAAGAGACCACGAACGCGCAGGCAAACGCCTGCGATGGTGCAATACGGGCCGGCGGAATGAGCGAAGCGATGGAATGATCGGAGGCATGTGCCCGCGAGCACATCGTAAAACACAAGAGTTTGATGATTCTGGCCTTCTCGCACTTCTCCTTGCGCCTCTCTCGGAGCTCCCGTGCATCTCCGCTGGCTCTTGCGGCCATCTTAAACCGGGGCATGCTCTCTACGAAAATCCTGACAGCCTCTCGGACCCATCTTGGGCCGTCTGGCCGCCTTCTTGGCACCGTATTTCGCCCATCTGGGGCGCCCCCTCAGAGCCTCCGCCTCAAACAAAACCGGACTGCTTTTTTCCCCTTCCTGTTTTCATCGTTCACCCCCAAGTCGCCGCTCTTGACCCATTCCAGCTCCTTTTGGGGCCCCTCCAGAGGTCCCCCTGGGATGAACCCGATGGTTCTTTTTAGCTTCTCCAGCCTCTCTGCAGCCGTCCTGGCCTCACGGTCATGTGAAAGACACTCCTCGGCGCGCTGTCTGGGACGAACCCGACGGTTTCTGTTCAGTTCCTCCAGCCTCTCTGCGGCCGTCCTGGCCCCGGGGTCATACGACACAAAGCTCGCTGCTTTCAGTTCCGCCAGCATCTCTGCGGCCGTCCTGGGCTCAGGATCATACGACAGAGAGCTCGCTGAGGAGCCCTATGTCCTCTCCATAGAGGCCCACGGGGCCTCAAAGCCCCACGAGGCCTCAACGCGGAAGCACTAGCACCAGCACCAGAACACCTCCTGTTCGCGCGCGCGGAGCGGCCGCCGCTCACACAGAGTCTCCAGGATCCCAAGAAAGGTGGGGCGGCGGTGTCTGCCCCCCCATTCGCGCTGAATTGAATAATCAGCAAGCAGAACGTCTCAGTGCTGTGCTCCAAGAAGCACGACTACAACTATGATAAAAGAAACGAGCGAGTACAAGAAGAGCCCGGAAAGCCACCATCTTTCCCCAGCAGGCTCGTTGTAGAGGATGCTGCATATATCCTTCGATAACACCTGGGCGGACACTGCTGCAACGAATTCGGCAATCTCCCCAAAGCAGTTGAGATGCAACCACTGCACAGCAACTGTAGAGCAAACAACATGGCATAACACAATTCCCTGAACAACCAACATTCGGCCTGGATGGTGTTGTAGCTGTTTGGCAGAGAGCAACCAGCACCCGTCGAACGAGTGCGGACCGAAGGCTCGATGATGTCTGCTGCCCTCGACGGGTCCAACCTGATCACGTCTCCCTTCTCACCCCCATCTCCGTCCCTCCCCAATCTCCCTGTGTCCCTGTTCCCCCTTCTCGTTCACTCTCATCCCCTCCTCCTCACCACGGTCCCCCTCGTCCCCCTCGTCCCCTTCATGCCCCATCATCCCTCGTCGTGTTTACTACCTGGCGCACCCTCATCTCCCTCCCTCCTACTAACGACTTCCTCTCCCCAATTCTCTCGTCCATCCTCACTCCCTCATTCCCACATTCCCACCTCCTTCCGCCCGCCTCCTCCCTCCCCTCCCCGCCTCCACCTCCTCCCTCTGCTCCCGAGCCTACTCGAGCTGCCTCTGCTGCTCAGCTACTGCTCCTCCTCCTCCTCCTCCGACGGCGACGACGACGAGAAAGGACCGCTGGGGCACGGTGGGCGCACCCAGGGCTGGAGGAAGTGCAGCAGCTTCATGCCGCTGTAGCTGGAGATCTGCGGCAGGCCGTGGAAGAAGATGCGCGTCACGGCGAACCAGCGCTCCTCCGCGCGCCGCGCCGACCGCCGGGCCGGGTCGGGCCCCCTCCCTGCCCCGCGTTCTCCCCCTGTGGGGGGGGGGGGGGGGCGTTCCAGAGGGGGGGGGGGAGACGTCCAAGAGGGTGGCTCGCAAACCATGTCCCGAGGCATGTGCGCGGCCCAGGGGTGGGGCAGGAGACGCATTGGAAGAAGAAGAAGAAGAAGAAGAAATGTGACAATAATACTAATAATCGTTATAGTAACCACTAAGAAGAAGACGAAGGAGAAGAAGAGGAGGAAAAAGAAACAGGGAGGAGATGAGATCTCGGAGATACCATTGCCTCCACCATGATATCCAACGCCCCCCAGTCATAACCCCCTCTTGGACGACCCCAACCCCTGCCTGGCCCCTCTCCTGCCTCACCCTTTCAACCGTGCCCCCCCAAGCACTGGTGCGTCGGCGACGTCGGGGTAAGGAACATCACGCTCCACATCGAGCGGCATCGCCGATGCATCGGCGATGCGGCGCGCTCCTCCGACCCCATCTTCTCTGACCCCATCTCGGCGGCCAGAAGGCTGGGTCAGGCCCCATCCCTGCCCCGCTCCCTTCCACCTGTCCAACCCACCCTCCTACCTCCCCCTCCAGCTGCGCAACGAATACCGGTCCTCGCGCCCCCATTGGAGGGGGAACTGTAATTAGGAGGCGGCCGGCTCAGGGGTAGAAACATCGAGCTGAAATCTGCGATACATCGCCGGGACATCGGCCATCGCCGATGGATTGGGGCCCTGTCGGCGAGCATCGGCGCTCGACTGATGGCCGAGAGATCGGGGGCCGATAGATCGAGGGAGAAACGTCGAGCTATCGGCAAACATCGGGGGCCTGTCACCGATGGTGAATCCGCACGCTCCTGGGCAGGGTGAGCTTGAGCCCCTATCGGCGACGGATGGGCGATTGGGGATCAATGTGTCCCCATGAGCCTATCCTTAGGTCGGTCATGTCCCCCTTGGGCGAAAAAGAACACGTTGTCAAAACAGGCCCCAAAATAGTCAAAATAGTTCCCAGACTATTTTTCTACCATTTTTGAATTCCCCCCCTGTAGAGGGACAGGCCCGACTGAAGCCTATCTCCCCCCCTCCCTAACGTTGCCCCCCACCACTGGGCTGCGCCGAGGGGCAAACTCGCCGATCTGGCCGGGACAGCCAAGCACGACATGCCACTCTCCTCGTTTTCGTGTTGGGCGTCGCTTACTGGGGAGCGAGAACTGCAGGGGGGAGAAGGGTGCACTTCACGGGCCCTGAAGTTCCTGTTTTTTGAGCCTTCAAGGGCAGCTTCAGGGGGCCCCAGAGGACCCAATCTCTGCAGCCCTCGCTGCCCCCCCGTTTATCGCCCCGAAGCCTCCCTGCCCCTCCCCCTCGGCAAAAGCGTGGAGCTTCTCGGAAATGCCTGACGCACCATATGAAGGGGCCCCAGGACACACACATAAATACACACAAATAAAACGATTCCCCATATTTCCCCATATTTTGAAGTTGTTTTGTCTTCCCCCCCACTTCCCATATTTTCCCATATTTTCTGGGGAATCGACGATTCATGGTGTCTGTGTGTGGTTTTTTTCCTCCTGACCATAGGGGACTTTCTTAGGAAACACGTGCAGCGACACCCGCCCGTCGCCCACCATGGCGCGACGCCTCATCGTGGTCGTGCTCACCTACGTGCATGATGGGATGGCAAGCTAAGAAACAGAAGGGAGAAGGGAGCGGCAGTGGCCTCCTCCTCCTCTTCTTTTCTCATTATTATTATTAGTAGTATTATTAGTCGTACTCTTTTTATATTATTACGCTTCTTCTTCATATTCTGATTACTCGTATTATTCGTGCTATTATTATCCGTATTCTCCTTATTAGTATGACTAGCCTGCTTCTTTCTTATTAGCGCCCTCCTTCGTAGTATTATTCGTATCAGTATTACGATTATGAGTTAGTAGTAGTAGTAGTAGTTTTGGTAGTAGTAGTTTTAGTTTTAGTAGTAGTAGTAGTAGTAGTAGTAGTAGTAGCAGTAGTAGTAGTAGTAGTAGTAGTAGTAGTAGTAGTAGTAGTAGTAGTAGTAGTAGTAATAGTAGTAATAGTAGTAGAAGCAGTAGTAGTCGTAGTAGTAGTAGTAGTAGTAGTAGTAGTAGTAGTAGTAGTAGTAGTAGTAGTAGTAGTAGTAGTAGTAGTAGTAATAGTATTTGTATTATCCTTCTTCTTATCAGTATGAGTAGTAGCATCATTGTTATCATGATCATTATCCTTCAGATTATCCTTATCCTTTTCCTACTCCCTCTCCTTCTCCTTATCTCAAGCAATTCGGGCTCGAGCTTCCGGGCCTGCCTCTGGGCCTTCGCGTGGCGCTTGAGGTCTAGCCTCCCTTCGGGAGGTGGCCGACACAGAGGCAATCTTATTCTCACCTTCCAAGAGTTTTCGGCAGCGGCCATGGCGAACCGCTACTGGAGTAATGATTGGCGTCGCAACAAGGCTGCTGGTTCTCTTGAACATCGGTGGCGTTGCGGCCCATGCGGATGTGCAAAGAATCTATCCCGTTTTTGGTTCTGCAAACAGTGCGGAGGTCTCCGCTCAGAAGTCATGGTGCCCCCTCGCGGAGCTGGGGGTGAACCTGAAGCCCTTGCCGACGGAAGACCACTACCTGTGGGTCCTCAGGGTGGTGGTTCCAAAGCAGCTGCTTGGCCACAGTCTGTGGTTGGCAAGGACGAGTCTCTTTCCGACGAAGAGCTTAGCCAGCTCGTATTACTCAGTCGCAAGATGGGGAATGAGGCCCAATCTGCTGTTCTGCAAGGTCGTCTGGACAGACGCCGTCAGCAAGAACAACCAGTGCCCCTTCAAGTTCAGGCTAACTCTTGCGATCGCCAGATCAAGTCTTTGGAAAAGAAATTACGAAGAGAAATGGAGCAATACCAAAAATGGGAGCAATGGCTTATTGATCAGAAAAGCAGTATCGGTCAGCTTCGTACCCAGTTGGCAGAGCAGTCAAACCGGCACCAGGACCTGGTTGAGCAGATACGAGTTTCGTTCCAAGGTGATGAGGAGCCTTCAAAGTCTGAGGCGGTATCCCAGCAAGTTTCGCTCAAAACCTTCCTGGAGAAAGGTGCAGGTATCATCTCATTCGCCGACGACAATATGGAGGAACTCTTTGGTGTGGATCCTGAGAATTTTGAGGTTACGGACACGGGCCGTCAGGAGCTCGAGACTAGAACAGACAAGTTACGCAAGGTACTGGCTGAAGCATCTCAAAGTTTGTTCGGAGAAGCGAAGAGGCATTTCGAGGAGCTCAAAAAGGCCCATGCGATTCACGTTCAGAGATCGTCTAAGAAACGTAAAGGTCCTGATGGCCAAGCCAAGGCAGCACAACCCCCTCCTCGAGCTGAAGGCTCAGCTGAGAAAGATGGTAGTGAATGCCCTGGCAGCGGTGGAAGCAAAGGATCATCACGCAGTCAAGACGGACCCGACAATGTCAGCCAGAAGGTCAGGACCGACGAGCTCCTGGCCCAGGCAGACGCTATCATCGGTGGCACGGAGTCCAAGGACCCCCCCCCCCCCCCCCCCTGCCTAGGCTCAGCGCAAGGCAGGGGGGTGCACATCAGCACACTTGTATGCTTTCGTCATCATCTTCAAGTGAGCTTTGCAGTGAATCTGAGGGCTCTTTCTTCGAGGCTGCACCCGCAGCAAACTTTTTAGGTAGTATCTCTAGTAATCAGAATGCTGTCGCTCACCTCCGTGGAGGTGCCGTCGCGTTCCCCCTAGATCCTCAAGGGGCTCCCGAGCCCCTCGGCCCGTTTGTGGATGGGCCCAATTTTGGCCCTGGCATGGACTCTGGCAGCCCTGGTTTTGTCTCTTTCAGGACCCCGCCCGAGCCCAGCCCAGGGGACTTCGCCATGTGCATAGAGACCTGCAATGCCACCTCCCGGGGGTCTTGCAAAGAATGGCTGGCGCACACGAGTTCTCACGTGGTCGCTCTTCAAGAACATCATATTCCTTCAGATTCTGGGTGCAAAGAAGCAGCCGAGTGGCGCCTGCGTGATGGCTGGAAATGCCTTTTTGCTCCAGCGTGCCCTGGTCGGGGAGAAGGTAGCAGTGGTGGCGCGGCTATCCTGGCAAGATCCTTCCTAGGATTCCATGAACTCGATCAAGGCCCCATCATATACCCTCATCGCGCAGTGGGAGGTATAATCCATCTTCCAGGGAGTTCAGAGCACCCCTTCTTCCTGGCGTCAGTTTATTTACATCATTCAGAGGGCTTGGCGGACCGCGATCTGTCCATATTGAGTGCAGTGGGCGCCGCCACTACTTTATACTCGAATGAAGCTGTGATCGCAGCCGACTTTAACATGCCCCCTGACGATATCATTGCTGGCGGCTTCCCCGAGCAGCTTGGAGGGGACGTCGCATTTCCGAAGGTTGAAGGTACCTGCAGCACTACGGGAGGGCCAAAAGTTTTGGACTTCTCCGCGGTCACTCCTGGGATTTACAAAGAAATTCAGGCCGTGGAAACGATCGAAACGCCCCACATTACTCCCCATTCACCTGTTCAGTTGACTTTACATCCGAAGGCCTGCAGGATGCAAGCCCTCGCCTTTTCGAAGCCGCCTCCGGTACCTGCTGCCAAGCCTGTCGGACCTGATCCTAAGCCTCCGTCTTGGGATCAACTCCATGGGCTGGCCAGGGGCATCATCAACTCCCCGTGCGCTCTGGGCGCGCTCCCTGGAGAGCATTTGGATCGCGTTGGGGGAGGCGCTGGGTGCGTACTGGGAGCGCTCCCTGGGGTGCATTGGGATCGCTGGGGGCACACAGGGGCCGCTCCTTGGGGTGCATTGGGAGCGCCCTTCAGGGTGCCATAGGGGCGCTCTGGGTGCGCATTTGGAGCGCCCCTGGGGAGAGCGTCAGTAACCAGCTTGATGGGCTTTCGAAGTTGCGCAGCCGTTGGGCCCGCATGGCTGAGGTTGAAGTTGCCTCTGCTGCCCAGATCTCGTTGC